CTGAATTTCTGAATTTCTGAATTTCTGAATTTCTGAATTTCTGAATTTCTGAATTTCTGAATTTCTGAATTTCTGAATTTCTGAATTTCTGAATTTCTGAATTTCTGAATTTCTGAATTTCTGAATTTCTGATTTTCTGAATTTCTGATTTTGTGATTTTCTGAATTTCTGATTTTCTGAATTTCTTAATTTCTTAATTTCTGAATTTCTGAATTTCTGAATTTCTGAATTTCTGAACCTCTGAATTTCTGAATTTGTGAATTTCTGAATTTCTGAATTTCTGAATTTCTGAATTTCTGAATTTCTGAATCTCTGAATTTTTGAATTTCTGAATTTTTGAATTTCTGAATTTTTGAATTTCTGAATTTTTGAATTTCTGAATTTTTGAATTTCTGAAAATTCAAATTACTGGGAAAATCCCTTACAATAATTTTTTCATTCCAAAAAATTTGTTTTCCGTTCCGTTCCAATAATTTTCTCACATATTTTTTACCCCGAAAAAAAAATAAATCGCAACAAATTCCCCCTCCAAAAAGTTGTCCGGTTTATTTGAATTTCCAAAAAACAAATAGTGTAGAAAATCAAGAGACGCAGACATCTCAGGTTATTATAAAGTCAATTTGTCGGTCGTAAATTTCAGTCACACTCTGTTTTTTCGGGGCAATAAATCGGACAAAACGGGACAGGCATAGGCATTTATTTACAGTTACATGCGTTCACAAGGGATGAAAAAATATTATTGAATGTTGATTCTTTTTGTTTTCCTTTTTTGGAAAAAAATGAGGTACAGTAAATCCTGTTTTAATATTTTCGCAAAATCTTTTGTAATTTTTAGATTCCAATATTTGGTAAATTAAAAAAAGCATCAAGTACAGTAATCCAAAAAAAAATTCCCAATATCTTCACTATATTCCAGTTAAGATCTTTTTTAAAAAATAAGGTACTGTAATATGAAATTTCAAGCTATTTCAGTATCTTTGAATTCCAATAATTTTCGATCTTTTTAAAAAATCGAGCTACAGTAATCCTAGTTTTTTAGAGTCGTACATTTTGGAGGAAATCAAAATTTGTAAATTCCTAATTGTTTTTTACTTTCTCTGATTTCGCGTTTTTGGCAAAATTTGAATTTTTCAAAAAAGAAATTGAAATTAATTTTTTTCTGGAATTTTCAGTTCATAATTGTTTTCAAAAGTCAAAATATTCAGGATATTCAGAAATTCAGAAATTCAGAAATTCAGAAATTCAGAAATTCAGAAATTCAGAAATTCAGAAATTCAGAAATTCAGAAATTCAGAAATTCAGAAATTCAGAAATTCCGAAATTCAGAAATTCAGAAATTCCGAAATTCAGAAATTCCGAAATTCAGAAATTCCGAAATTCAGAAATTCAGAAATTCCGAAATTCAGAAATTCCGAAATTCAGAAATTCAGAAATTCAGAAATTCAGAAATTCAGAAATTCAGAAATTCAGAAATTCAGAAATTCAGAAATTCAGAAAT